TTGATTGGATTTACCCGGACTTGATCGTTTTTTTGACTACGCGCGAAGGTGCGAGAATTTTTGCGGTGAAAATTACGGTTGTTTTTATGAAAAATACTAGAAAATGTGTCCTAAAATTGATGGCGAAACAGTAGACAAAAAAAATGTAAATAAATTCTCAACTTACAATATGATGTTTCAGGTTACGGATGTACGTGGTTCACTATCACCGTTTTTTTTTTTTTTTTTTTTTTATTGATCTCAAATTTCTATAAAATCACGACAATAAAACAACCTGAGTACACTTATATTATATAGGAGCTGAGATTACAGGAATTCTAAGGCATGTATCATATTTTGACACCACAATAGTACTCATCCAAAAATAAAAACGTATGATAAAATTTAGAAAAAAAAAAAATAATAATAATAATAATAAAAAGTGTAGCTCTTCTAGTGTCACGAGTTCACGTGGAATGCCACTGTTACCAATTTCTTTTTTTCACCATACAAACCGCGTACATCTCAAACACGTACAAATTACGCATACGTGCCACGAGTCGCACTTTCGTAAAAGGCTAAGAGAGCGAGCAAAAAAAAAAAAAAAAAAAAACTCTCAACAGCAACTTTTGAAGCCGGTCACTCCGTATACATTCGTACGGAGATTCCATACCCAGAGCTGGATATTCATTTTTCTCGAGTTCCCGTTTTTTTTGTTTTCTTTTACTCCGCATTTTTCGCGGCCTTGCAGAGCTCCAGGATAATCTCCCTCGTACACGTGCAGTGTCGAGCTTAATCCAAAAAAGTAACACGCATATACGTACGTTTGACGGGATATTACGTGGTGAACCTTCTCTTTCGAATTTTTTTTTTTTTTTTTTTTTCCTCCAGAAAAGCCGATTACCAAGAGAATAAGCCCTGATAAACACACCTGTTTTTCCCAGTAAATTAGTTGCCGCCAGCGCGTTTTTTTCTCCCGTCTATGTACAAAAACGAAATACCTAAGTATATACGAAACAATCGCGAGAAGTTTGAAAAAAAAAAAAAAAAAACGCAACACGTCACTCATCCGCACCGAGTCAAATGTGTAAAAATACCACGTGAATGCAAATGCACTCGACTTGTTTAAAAAAAAAAAAAAAGCGCGGAAGGGGAAAAAAAACCAAAATATCACCCAAGTATGTAGTAACGGTGAAGCGAGAGTTAAACCGAAGCGTGAAATGTCACGAGTGTGCGCGACGACACACATCCACCGGTAAATGTGTGTATACACCACGGCGGGAGAAATTTCAATTTTCACCTCGTCAGTGGCGAAGCAACGAGGCAAATAATCGAAGGCTCCGCGAGAGCTAAGTTTAGCCCGCAGCAGCAGCCCACAAGCTCATCATCATCATCATCATCGCGATACACCGGCAGCAGCAACAACAGCCTCCCTCCAGCTGTGTTTACGTGATTCACCGAGCGAGTACATATTATACGCGCGTGCGTTACAAATATGCTCGTGTTTCGCTATGTGTATATCGCGCGCTGCGATCTGACTCGCGACTTGCGTTTCGATGTACACACAGAGAGGTATACGCGGGAAATCGGAGCAGAAGGCCTTTTTTAGAGCACGCGCTTGGTGTGCTCTCTCGATCGCGATGCGTATACGTGTTTGACCCTGACGAGAGTGCCTCTAGCGCGGCCTCTTTTTTTTTTTTTTTCTTTTTACTTGTAGTACCTAGATATTGTTTTGGACCCGTATGGTTGTAAGTGTCTACAATGTACATCAAGATGGTCATACTTTCTCAAGTGTGGTTTCTCCGTGCATTGGTGGCATTGGTACTTTTTTTCTGCAACGTATTAAGTCACGTGCAGTGATTTCATTCAAGTTTAATTAGATAGGATGTGCTCAACCGCGAGATAGATCGAGTGGTTTGGAAAAAAAAAAAAAAAGAGAAAAGAATTTTGTGATCGATTGTTTATTGAAAGTACCAACAAGTGTTTTTTAAAGGAATTTTTTCGTTTTTTTTTCATTTTTTTTTAAACACGAGAGTCGTACGAAAGCCAGTGTATATACGATTAATCGTCCCAATGACATTTCAAAAACAATAATCCTTGTACGGTTTCATAGACAAGCATATCCTGAAACTCGAGTATCGAGCAGCGCGCAAGTCGAAGCGATGAAAATTACGCGATGATTTCATGACTTTGCGGGTAAATTATTCGAGCGGTTTTTTATTTTTGTTTTGATTAAACTTTGTTGTTTGGTAGCAACGAGACGAGGAAAACGTACGGCATAATGTATTCGCGGGTTCATTATCACGTAAGTCGGAGCTGGGCGTCGGGAAATACCGCGAGGTACAGCTATGTCAGGTGTTTGTGCACATGCACGGTATCAAATAGACATCCATGAGCGATGAGCAATTATTGTTTTCCACTTGGCAATCGTGCATTGATACGCTGTAGCTCGGCAAATCTATTCTTACGTAAATACTTGAAATATCTCATTCTTTTTTTCACTTTTAGCTTTACTGGGTGTACGAACATTTTTTAACAACAACGTCATTATCGATGGTTGACCACCAAATAAAAGGTATTTTTTTTTTTGCACCCCATAAAATTAGCACAATTGTTTTTTTTTAATTTCTAACGTGAAGAGGAAAAAAAAAACTGTTTGAATTGATTTTGTGCTGCGCAGTGAAACTACTTGCAAGAGATTTTCACTCCGTCGTAAAAAAGGAAGCAAAAAAACTTTGGCTCGACCAACCCAACTTAGCACACACTATACGTGGAAAGTCACGGGTTTAATCAAGTAGTTTTTTTTTTTTTTTTTTCTTTGTACCTTGCGTGTCCTAAAAGCGTCCTCTAAAACAGCAAGAAATTAGAATTGCTAAAGAAGCAAAAACACGTGCTGCTGGTGCACTGCTCAGCATCCATAATCTGAAACCTCATTAAATGAGGCTACTCCCCCATTATCGCCCTCTGTAGTTCACAGTGTATTCCAATTACTTGGTGTGATCGATGTGTGAGATTGAACAAAAAAAAAAAAAAAAAAAAACCAACACAAAGCCTACGCTTTGCCATTACGTACAGGAAGGGAATGTTAGCAATGTTGTAGATGAGAGAAAATTCACCAGCTCGTGAACGAAAATAGAAAAAAGTAGGCGCACGTAATAGTGCAGAGGAAAGAAAATTCCCGGAGAAAACAACGAGTGTGTTTTATGTGCTCTCCGCTAAATAACGATGCAGTGGAGCTTCGGCCGCATGTCGGTGGGCGGTCGGGAATTTCGTTTGTAAAGGCGTGCGGGTGCTCTTTAGCCCCCATTTATATGCTAAGACTGTTTTGGCGTTCCTCTCCTGTTTTTACAGAAGAAAAAAAAAAAAAAAAAAAAAAAAACTAGGAAAATTTGACTATTTTTTCTACCCGTGCAGAGGATGTGGAAAGATGGCTCTGAGTGATCGCTTTGAGGTGCAGGGAAAAAAATTCCAGTAATTTTCTTTGGCAACTCGGATGTACCGACGTAACTTTTTCAACGTGCACGTGTATGCGTTAACGGCACAGAAACCAATGGGGACGATGAAACAGCGATAATCCCATTGTTCGCCAATAACTAAAGCTCTTTCATCTCGATTTTAACGAGTACTCATGCACGGCTGTCCAACTTTTCGGTAGAAAAAGAAAAAAAAAAAAAAGTTTGACCCCTGCAGCGCACGTTAATTGCGCCAGAAAGGAAAAATATGAATAAATAACGAGATAAAAAAAAGAGGACCCAGGATCCAATGCCAATACTTGCGTAACAGCGGGAAGGGAGGGAGGGAAACTTGGCTCGTTTTAGAATGAAAAAAAAAAGAGGGATAGAGTGAGGGGGGTGGGGAGATATAGGTTTTGAGAAACAAAAAAAGACGAACGGGCGAGAGCTTGGACGGTCCGCAGGCACGTATTGTAGAGAGCACATCTAGCGATGATTGGGTGGATTGTTAAAAAAGTTAAGAGGAGCACGAAAGGAGAGAGTACATGGACGTAGGAGCTATACGTACTCGTGAAATAACGATGAGCTCCTTTTCCCCTTGATACACTGTGTTTGATTTTATTTTATTTTTTTTTTTTTCCTTGTTTTGTCATAGTAAAAACTTTACCCCAAACACACGTATGTCACACAATTTTCAATCATATTTAAGGTCAAGCGTTTTTTCTCTTTCGACGGTGATTTTGCAAATATATTTCTCATAAGCTCTGGCACCATGCCAGTGTCTCTTCTTTTTTTTCGAGGGGGGGAGGAGGAGGGAGGGTTCCTCAAGCACTGCTACGTGATGTGCGCTTCTGCAACACAGTTGCTGCTGCTTGAACAATGACGTTTTTGCTTCACTGTATTTTTTTTTTTTTTTTTTTTTTTTTTTCTTGTAATCAATGAATCCCACCAGAAGGGATGAAAAAAGTGTACACACGATTACTATTCAAAGGTGTTGAGAGAAAAAGGAAACAAGCGATGAATGCTTCCGTTCGGGGGAGGACCGAGGAAACTTTAGAACTTACACGGCCGTCTTACCAAATCGGACTCGTTCTACTGAAGGTGCCCAGTATACAGGGACACGCAACGCCGCATACATCATCAGTGACAACGGTAGGAAGGGGGGGGGGGGGGGAGGGAGGAAACGAAAAAAAAAAGAACAGATTCGACTGATAACTCCAGGAAAGGGGAGGCGAAAAGGGCTCTCCGCGTGGAGCTTTCAGTGCGCTCTTGACCCTGTTTTTCTCTCTCTCTTTTTCAACAGCGCACTTAACGAGCCCCTAGAGAAAATCGTCGAGGGCCCCAAACACAGGCCACCTTTCGTGTATGGACACGTTAACGAGCCACGAGAGACACAGAAACGATCAAGGAGACGATTACAGTAGGGTGTATCATTATAAACGGAAGGGTACGTGTGTAAGGTCGAGCTCGAGAGCGTGCCTTTGTGATTTGGCGGGAGCGAGCAAAGAATTGAAGAAGGAACGATGAGAATGAGAATGACGAGGAAGCATAGGATGAAAATCCACTCACCAATGCGGAGGAGAAGAGGAGGTGTGTATCGATCGGTTGCGTACACGACACAACGCGTATACGTGTCTCTGTATAATATATATATGTAAACGTATACACGCAAGGAGGAGCGCCGGTGTGATATCTCTCCCCCTGTTGGTTATTCTTCCGGCCCTTTATTTATGTATCCTCTTGCCTTCGTGCAAGTATCTGTTCCCCGTTAGCCTTGGACCCTCTTTTATTGCACCACCACTATCACCACAACCACCACAACCAGCACCAGCACTACTTGTATTGCACTAAAATATATAATATTTGTTATATTTATTTCTACTTGTTTTATTACGGCGCGCGCACAACAACCACCATCACCACCACCAGCAGCACCATACAATTATCACCAACACAGGCTCTCGTGGTAGTAAATACGCGTTCGCGCCAATCCGTTCAAATGAGCGGGCGATTATCCGATCGATCCGACTGCTGTCGACGAGTGCCCACCTTTGACAATGGCAGGACAAAGGTAACTGGCATACGGCAATTGCAAACGCACAACAATAAATACACTAACACTCGAATCCATGATACGAGGCGGATACCTTAGTCGCCGCGATCCGCGACAATGCGTTGATGTGGTATGCCATTGTCGCGAGCACACGCGTTGGTTGTACAACGAAAGTGATATACACCGTATATTTGTCCGGTCCTTGTAGAGACTTGACTATAACTGGACACAAGGGGATCACTGGCGCAGGAGCCACACGAGCGAAAGCAACAAATAGACTGTCGGGTATACACAGCCGGTCGTAGAGAGGTAGCGATAGATACAAAAGCTACAGTTGAAAAATTCCTATACCAATGAGCCGTCGATGGCACACGCGACTAGGTACACACGAGAGCTTGCGGATGCTGCGGTCGGGCTATGAGGACGATTATCCTCGAAGGCAACCGTCCCGTGCACGTAAGCGACGTCAACTCCGGCTAGCCAACGCCAGCCACTAGCTTCCCACTTCCTATCAGTGTGCCTGCCCGCACCGCCGCCGTCGACCCTCTCTTTCGTCGTTGGCTCCAGCCTCGCGCGCGCGCACCTGCTCCCTTCCACTCCAGCGTTATAATGGGTGCTACTGCCTCTACTAGGTGTACTGTATCCGACGCGCACGCGGCCCTTGATACGTCACCCAATGGGATACTAGATGTACATTGGTATGTAAACATACGTGCATACGTACGTAGATGTACGTATTTTGGAGAATACTCAGTTGTACGAGGATCGAAGTTTTTAGATTACGACTTCCCCTTGGCTTCCCCCCGTAGCGTTGAATTTTAGGACCTTCCCCTTCTCCCCACCCTGGGGTGATGGTTGAAATTATTACATTTACGCTCTCTCCAGCCGATGGGTACTGTCAAAAGGCCAATTGATTATTTTTTTCAACTCTATCCTCTTCGCGGTCAAACGTGTGTTGAGCCAGCTCCGACGATTATACCCGATGACTCTTCGATGGAGCGACAAGTAATAACTAGAGGGGCTTAAGGAATCGTGCGAGGAGTGAAAAAACAATAACAAGACTTGGATACTGAACTCTTGGGGCATGAAATTAAGGACCAAATTCCTACGCAGAGGTCAATACATATCTTGTTCTGGTTTTGAGGGTGATTTTGTTTTTGTCGAAGAAACCTCAACTTTAGTTGCAACTGATGGGTGTGAAAATTTAACAGAAAACCAACAGTTTTTCTCGAGCGATGGAAGAATTTTTTGCTTCGAAAAGCATTTGGGCTTAAAGAGTTTGTTGCGCCCGTAATCGACTTCAAACATTGGTATTTTAGTTATGTTAACAACACCCTCCGCAATCGATTTTCGAATCGTGTACAGTCAACAACACCTGAGTATCGTAGGTTGAATAATTCTGATTCACTCCCATATGCACTTTCATGTTCCCATCATGCTATACTTTGTTAAGTTCTATATGTACTCGTATTTTGTTAACATACGAAAGTGAATTTTATTTTGTTTACCGAATATAATTTTTATTCACTTGTAGAGAATCTACTCTGTCTTACCTCAGATGGTCATTTACTATTTGTTTATGAAGAATCTTCTACGTCTTACAACAAATGGCCATAATCTACTTAAAGGTAGCAAAAGTATTGCGTCTTACCTAGCCTGGTCAATATCTATTTGAATGTAAAGAAGTTATTGTGCCTTACCAAAAATAATCATCATCTACTGAAATCTCAAAAAGCTGCTTTGTCTTACCAAACACGATCATCATCTACTTAATCATAGGGAAACTCTCGTGTCTTACCAAACACGTTTATTATCTACTAAATGTAATGAAGCTATCATGACTTTCAAAAAATTATCTACTTAGGGCTAGCAAAACTTTTGTCTGACCTACCCCAGTCATCACCTACTTAAATAAAAAGACTTTACTGTATCCTACCAAAAAAATGTTTATCATCCTTTAAATCACAGGAAAATTGTGCCTTACCAATCATGATTGACTAAGTAGCTACTGTGTCTTACCACACGTGATCATTATCTACTTAACCATAGAGAAAGTATATATACTCACATGTAATGGAGCTACCTCGACTTTTAAAAAAATAATGGGCATTATTTACTTGAAAAAACTTTTGTCTGACCTACACCAGTCGTAATCTACTTAAATAAAGACTTTATTGTGTCCTACCAAAAAAAGTTACTTAATCATCCATTAAATCATAGGAAAATTGTGCCTTACCAATCATGATCGACTAAGTAGCTACTGTGTCTTACCACACGTGATCATTATCTACAGCATCTACTAAATCGTAGGAGAAAAATGTGGCCTACCGAATATCATAATCTATTGAGATGTATTGAACTACTCTCTTAAGCTTATCTCCACATGGTCATTATATAGTTGAGCATAATTTAGAGATATCCGAATAATAAAAAATTTTTAATTCATAAATAATCATAAAAACATGAATATTATAGAAATAAGGATTAAGTGTTCATCGATAAAAAATAAAAAATGAAAGACTTTCTTACTCTGTGCGATGAAGGCGTTTTCAAAAAAGTTGTATCCTTCCGGTGCTTCGGGATTTCAACACAAGAAACGATGAAAGGGAGGGATAAAAATACGTGCCAAAGATGTCGAGTCGCTTCATCAGCGCCGCCTTTACCTTTTTCCACTACAACAGCGGGATAAAAAGAAGCCTACAATACATACACAACCGAGGCGCCACTGCACTTTTAGATATAGCACCGTAAACCGCCACAGCCTTGATGAGAGCGATAGTAGTCGGTGGTGAAGGAAAGAAGAGGCGTTACCGAAAAAAAAAAAAAAAAAAAAAAATCCGGTGCTGAATTCAATTTGCAATTCTTTGCGATGAGTAGTTCATGAGCGTACCTCCTCTGTGCCATATAAATNTCGACCTCGGCTCGCTTCCTCTGTCCGCGACATTTCGAAACGCGCTTCGCATAGCAATCGCTACCTCAAGCTGCACGTACACACCATGACGTGCCGTAAATGAAAAAAAAAAAAAAAAAAAAAATCGCGGTGCTGAATTCAATTTGCAATTCTTTGCGATGAATAGTTCATGAGCGTACCTCCTCTGTGCCATATAAATTCCAAGTGCCAATACGACAAACTCATAAAGTAATTTTTTTTTCTCTCTCTTCCTTAGGTAGGTACTACGGCTATACTTTTTCATTGCCGATTCGTACGCCAAGAACGTACATTTCTGACGTGAATTCGTAAGCGGAGCCTACATTTGGACCTTCGTCTTCGAAAATCAAGAGGTCGAGCATACGGATGCTTCGTTCATATTTTATTGGTCATTATTCTCGACGTGAGTAGGCACTATTAACTCCTCTCACCGTCAACATCCTTTACTTCTACTGCATGTATGTTCGTAAGTTCAGTACAATTTTAAGGATTATGGAAAAATTTCAAGCCTCGTACACGAGAATGAAAAATCAATGCCATACATTCTTGGCCTTTTTTTCCCGGTCTCCATCTTCCTTGCGGATACTCCACTTTGGCACACCACTTAACTCCGATGCTCTTTGTTCTCGGTTTCCCTTTTTTTCCCCTCCCTCTTTGCATTGCCTAATTTTGTATCCTTACATTACCTTTTTTTTCCTCTCTCCCTCTGTCTGTCAACGCGTTAACTGGGTGCACTTGTTACAGAATGGAATTTGTTTTTTTTTTGTCTTTTGACTAATTTTCTGCATGGTTGATTTTTTTGATGATTTTAGCGTAATTGAAAAATAAGAGTCGGCATGGGTTATTGGATATAAGATATGCATCGCGACGTTTTGAAAATGCTGATTTTTACACTATGTTTATTAGCCTCTCTAATTTTTTTTTCTTAGTAACTTGACCGTTTTCTGAAATAAGGTGCAACTGGTAATTAAAAATTTATTGCTTTTTCACTCTTAAGCCGTCGTCGTCGGCTCCATCAGATTCTTGCGTAAATTAAAGTTTTTTGTCATTAAATTTTTTTTTTTTTTTTTTAAACTCGCGGTGAAAGTAATCGGCTAATCCCATAATAACATTATTTATCAACGTTGAAAATTTTCCGCTTCCACTATACGCAGCTTATTCCTTGGCTTCTTCTCCGGTCTACTTACCCCCCGACTTTTTACGCGTCTTTACATTTTTCCCGCTTTACGTGTTTTTTTATCATTTTTTTTTTTTTCCTTCTTACTTTTGCAGTCTTCCATCCACAGTGAGAGCTGACGCCCTTCTTTGCTCCAAGCAAAATACACACCGAAGCCCAAAAAAAGTCGTCCGAAATTTCGAGCCTTTTCAAATAAAACCACAGAAAAAAAAAAAGATCTATCGACATTTTTTCAATGTTTTTTCTGGAATACAGCGCGGCACAAACTTTAGTTTCGCATGAATGCCCTTACCCCCGACTTTTTTTTCCTCACGCCAGCTTGTCCCTTTCTTTATATATTATCCAACATCTACACGACACTGACTACTGACCTCTTTCGGCTCACCTTGCCTCCGTTTGGTGGAAACGAGTCTATTTTTTTTTTTTTTTTTTTTTTTTTTCCTTTGCGAGATTTCAGTAGAAAGGAATAAAAGCCAGAGACAGAAGCATATGATACCCTCTGTGACTTGCACGTACACACATGCTTATAAATAAATACGTAAAAATAATATCCACGTGTTAAGGAATACTTGCAAGGTATAATATTCCCTATGTATAAAGGTACGTTCACTCGAATTGCCTCCTCCTCGGCAAGGGCCGGCCTTTTTCATCCCCCAGCATTTATCCCTTTCTGTGTTTTGGTTTCGCTTGATTTTTATTTTTCTCCCTCAAGCGCAGTTAAATCTTTTTGAAAGTACTCTCTTGAGTTGTGCAAGGCTTGGGCCCTTAAAACTAGGCGAGCTTGTTTATGTTATTTTGTTTTTTTGTTTCGTGCAATGACTTTGTTACACAACGACGGGCTGAAAGTTCAGTAAAATATAAAAATGTAATCGTGAAAAAAAATTAATACAAAAGATTTCTCCAGTGTATGTGGGTGTGTGTTACAATAATAAATAAAAAAATAAAGTAAGGACTGTGCACATCTTTTATCAGTATGTTCACTTGTTGCAGGAACAAAAAAGCCCCATCGCAGTTTTTTTTTACTTTGATAAAAATTGTGTAAAGTCCAACCAACCGTTGAAAAAAAAATGAAAATCGTAGTTGATAAAATACGGTATCCATTCAGGTGTAAGCTCTACTGAGAAAAAATCCACCCAACACAAGTAAGCGATCGCAACTTTTCTCGGTCACACCTAGAAACGTTAAACCGATGAAAAATTTCACTTGACAATCCGCTGCTTTACCAATGATGAACGATCGACTGTGGGGAAAAAAAAAAAGTTGGTTAGCGCACGGTGCAGTGAACAATGGGCGACAGTAAAGAATAGCATTGACCCAACACCGGAGCGAAGA